CCCAGTCTGTGGGACCCCTAAACAATACTTGGTACAGGAGTGTTGGGAGCTGGCCCAAAACAAAGACCTAGAAAATTGTTAGGAACTGTCAATATTATGCTGTGAATGTTCTTCACTTCCTACTAAGACCTACAGATTTTAGTACATTAAGTTAATGGAGAAGAACATTTTAATATAATCTGAGATACTAATGAAGCTCTTTGTTTTGTATTTACATAAAAAATACGCCTAACCCTAAATTCTTTTGGGGAGAGAAGATGAATAACTGAAAAAACATTTGCAACTTCGCACTTACTCAAGAAAGCATCACCTTCACTGGAGGAACAAAGCAGAGATGAAAAATGGGAGCTGGGAATGTTAGGCATGCAGATCTCGGTCTCCAGCACAATGGGTGGATCCCTCATTCCAAAACTGATCGCCAAGACTCACCATCTGCATCCTCCCATTGGTAGTGGGAAGTACTCAGAAGGTACCACTGTGGCCCACTTCCAGGGGAGCATAATTTATTCCAAACCTTTCTCTATGGTGTAGGTTTAAATGCTCTCCCACTGTTTGTATATGACATGTTTTAGATGGATTGATGTCCCTTGTGATGCCTTGTGATGGGCAAGCAACCCTGACTAGAACATACCCCACTCTGTGTGTTCTGGGACACTTTCCAGGCCCATTGTGACCCTGCACTGGATATGTAGTTCTGAGGAAATGAAAGAAATGAATAATTGAAAATTCATGAGAACAAACTGTATTCATTTTAGTGTCCCTTCTTTCACATGCCTTCTTAATATCCTGATCACTGCTGAATCTTTTTCAGCTGAACCAAGGCTGAGTGGACTTGTAAGTAGATTAGGCACTTAAGTGTCCAACAAGTGAACAGGGCAAGTCGACAGTAGCTGATTATCAGTGACCTTAAAGTATTATCACTTTACGTATTTTGGTACACCATATTGGTGGTTCTATATAGTTTTTCTCACATAGGATGGTACTCATATCTGACCCATTGGTACACTCCTCTATGAGAGATTTGAACCATTTTGGTAATTATCATATCAGTATATGTTGAATGGCAACTCAACCTTCCAATTCTTCCAATCAATCTTGAATCAAAAATATGTTGTGATCTCAGGCAGCCATACGATGGAGAGAATAATCCATGTCATTAATCCATCAGAGCATGCAAACTGGATTGTTTTAATCTTTGATATGCACAAGCAATGATATATCTTCAATTTATTTGACTGATAACAGTAGGTGGTGTAACGGATTAGGTGCCATTTGATTCACCTCAATTCTCGCTATGTGGTTGGTGCACTTTCTGAAGATATATGTATTTCTCCACTAAGCAAGAAGAAATACATAAAAAACATGGAACGACTTCTGTTTCAACATATGATGCATCGTTTTTTTTTTCTAGAATTTCACATTGGGCTGCGTTTGAAATATTTTTTCTCACCTGCCAGCCTCTAATATTGTCTGTGAAAAAAACAGTTTATTTCTGTGTCTAGTCAAGACAAAGGTTATATTTTTACGTGGTTAAGGTTTCAAAATTTTAGGCACTATCCCATATTACATTTAGTTAATCACTGTAGCCTTACACAACTCACCATATTTCACATTTTGTTCACTTCCTTCCAAATCTTTATAGATAAATATATCAATACACTGATAACCAAACTTATTTTTTATAAGAACCACACTTGAATTAGTATTAAAAGATGTGTGCAGAACATTACTTGAATGACTAATGTCTCCAAGGCTCAGTGGACTCCAACAAAATGAAAACCAAGCCTGTGTTGCACGCATAATATTTACGAATTGTCATTTTTAGAGTAAGTACACAGAACACACAATAAACTCAGAAATGAGCAGAGATCACATACAGGATTATTAAACCATTAGTTTCATCTTTACTGATTTTGCAGTGGTAAAAACACATTTTTTAACAGGATTAGGGAACACATAAATACAGAATTGAAAGGTTTTAAATATTAAACAACGTCAGAGCTGTGACTGGGATTGTAATACCTAGAACATGATGCTGCTTTTGCCTTGTTGTTGTAACATTATGAACTGTTCAGTAACCAGGCATCAGTCAACTCTGTGGTGCAGTGAAAATCTTGTGACATTGATTACAGACCTGTGAGACAGATTAGGTTCTTGCCCTCTCATGTCAAAACAGACCCAGTCTAAGCTCATAAAGCATTTTCCAGTATATGTTTGTGACAGGCAAGATAGGCACCCATGGAAACAAATCTCACTAAAGCCTAAAGCTCCTTCTCCAAGAGCAGTCTGGTCACACTTCGATACGGCTGTCCCCAAAATGTGTTTGGCATAAACTGTGTCAATCTAGGCTCAGCTGATGCCTCTGCTGAGTGGAAGAAGGCATATTTCACATCATTTTGAAGCCAGTTTCTGTCAATTTCAATTAAATAATCGGCAAAGATATGAATCATTGACTGTATTAATCTATTGTCTAATAGGAAATATCACCCTTCATTTTTATCAAATTTTTCAGCTTGGTAAATTATATAATTCTATTATTACCAGTGCAGCACATTATGGTTAGAAATGGCAGAAACAATTTTAAATCAACTCATTTTTAAGTGCCAGTTTCTTTTACATAATGCAGACCCTGTTAGCATGAGCCCTGAATGAAGGATGGAGAGCATCAGACCCCACACCCATCTTACCAGTTTTTCTTAAACTTTCCTTGCTTAATTTGTGACCTTGTGAGTGAAAACAAATAATTTCTAATGGTTTATTTTATATTTTGGGCTGGGAAGTAATCTTAATGTAACAGAAGACATTGGGATTTTTTAAATTAGCCGTGTTGTAAACTGTAAATAATGAACCCTCTTTTGAATTATGGATATTATTTAGTTCACTTCATGGGTTGGAGTTACTGGTTGACAGCCCGTTTTGGTTGAGTTGTGACCTGTTACGCCCATTCATTTTGGATTAGAGATTGACATTCTAAATCATCTAAAGAAACTGTGCTGTCTTTGCCAAAGTTAACAAACGGATCATTTTATGAAAAGATTGGATTTTACCATTTTGCAAACATGAAATATTTTTTAAAAACATTTCTCTGATCATTTTATGGTGCCAGAAAGAAAAAATAAAAAGCACCGTTGTGGAATCTAAAAAGTAAGTGACCATAAAGAAAGTGGATTCTTTTTGGTGTCTTTTTGGAAAACGTTCAAAAAAGCTGCAAGTCATCAAGAGGGGGGGTCAAACGCAAGGTCTGTTTATGGACAATGCATGTGTTAAAGCCAGGCTTTCTGTCAGCATGCACAGCGGGACACCTCCATAGGTCTCTTATTCGATTTCTGACATACCAAGTCCACGCTATGCAGAGAATGTTAGGCCTCTGCTTCCTAGTGGTGAGACTGCTATACTAGGGCTGTTGTTAACCGAAACAAAATAGCTAACAAGATATTCAATGCCCAGGAAGAGGGCGATTTAATGTTCGCAGGATAATGAGGTACAGGCCTGTTAATTCTGAGAGTGTCCTGCTGTGTGTGTGATGAGTGAAAATGGAGTCTGGGAGGTGGGTGGGCCTGGGGGGGGGGGGCATGCAGAGCAGGATTCAGACTGAAGGGAGAGCAGAGGAACCCATAGGGGAGCTGGGGAACATTCAGACATTCTGAGGGATCAGGGAAACAAACAGAGGAGCTGGGTGCATGCTGGGTACTAGGGAATGCATAGTAGAGGAGGGGAGCACACTAGGAAGTAGGGAATGCATAGGAGAGGGGAGCATATAGAGGAGCAAGGAGCACACTGGGGAGTAGGGAATGCATAGGAGAGGAGGGGAGCATATAGGGGAGCAGGAAGCACATTGGGGAGTAGGGAATGCATAGGAGAGGAGGGGAGCATATAGAGGAGCAAGGAGCACACTGGGGAGTAGAGAATGCATAGGAGAGGAGGGGAGCATATAGAGGAGCAAGGAGCACACTGGGAAGTAGGGAATGCATAGGAGAGGAGGGGAGCGGGGAGCACACTGGGAAGTAGGGAATGCATAGGAGAGGAGGGGAGCATATAGGGGAGTGGGGAGCACACTGGGGAGTAGGGAATGCATAGGAGAGGAGGGGAGCATATAGGGGAGCGGGGAGCATGCTAGGGAGGGGGCAAACAACCAAAAGAGTATGGAAACAAAGAAAAGAGCAAGAGAACATATAGAGGTGTGGAGGAAAACACACTGGAGTGGAGAACACAGATAATTTGGGCAACACTTTAATGAGTAGGGGAAGAATCAAAATAGGACAAAAACACAAAGAGGAGCAATAAACACAGAGGAGTAGGAAAACAAAAAGATGAGCAGGGCAACATTTTCCCAAGTAAGAGAACAGACTAAATAGTGTGGAAATACACCAAGGACCAGGGGAACAAAGAGAGGAGTAGTGTAACACATAGGGAATGAGGGGGAACTTTCAGGTAAATATAGGAATGAAGAAATGAGCTGGAAATATACAAATAACTTGGAGATAAAGAACAGAAAAGGAATAGATGTGCATACAGATGAGTTAAACATTAGATAAAAGCATTTTGAAATGGATGGAGAAAAAGTGGAGCTCATGGCAATAAAGAGAACTTAAGTATGGGTAGATATATAATAAGGAAGAGTGGTAGGAGAGAAGAGGGGATGACAGGAAGCCAGTGGAGAGCAGAGGACAAGCTGGGCTAAGAAAAGGAAATGGGGAAAAGTGAGTGTCAGTCTGAATGGAGGGCCAGAGAACATAAGGGGCAGGACAGGGAGCAGAGAGGTGAAGAATGCAGTGCCCCAGTCAGAGCCAGGCAGTGGGCTGATTTATACCCCAGAGAGAAACAGCACACTACTACCAAACACAACAACCATCAGATATATTTCATTCTGATGGATTTACTGATACACCCTTCCAAACTGTGGTCATATGAATCTATTTGTAGTTTTGTTTTATAAAATTCTAATTTTAAGATGTTGAAAAACAAGTAGGCTACACACATATTCTCTATAATGAAACCTCTTAGCGTTTTTTGTGTTTATTTGACATCACGCTTTTTCATTATACAAATATCACAAGAATGCAAAGTTCTTGAGCCACATTCAGCCAGTCATGGCTCTCTAAACAGCTCGCCAGTTAGTACCCAGCTAGACTTCCCATGTTAATGCGAGCTTCTGACAGACACCGTGAGTACTCTTAGTACCACGTCCCCCAGCTCTGTTCTCTGGGGTTTGCAAAAAGGTGAGGCTGTCATGAGGAGGCAGGTGTTTGTTCATCAGTCTTTCTTGTCAGGATGTTGTTGCCGGGGCTTTCGAGAAGCTGATAAGTGACGGGAGATAATTAATTTAACACATTCCTGAAATGAAGGTTGATCATTTGTTTGTTTTGTCTTATTTTTGTACAATTACCTGAAACGAGGGCAATTTCATGCATGTATTATAATACTTTAGGGGAAATTCAACTAAATTATACAAACTAACCTTTAAAGTTCCCATTTGCATTTGACTTATTACGTAATATTTTAAATCAAAGAACTATAACATGCACCCGTTATTTTTATTACATTTTTATGACCGACAAAGGGTCTCACGGAGTTTAACTAACTCGGCAAAAGAAAAGACGTCTCTTACTTTCCTCTGTGACATCGTTAAGCCAGTTAGCAGCGGATATGGGGTGAGTGCAGTTTCCCGGCTGGATCGTCCTCCTTGCTGGACAGGGCTTTGTCCTCATTATGGAGAGTCACGTGACGGCCGTGCCCCTGCCAGGGGTAGTATTCCCTCGCGGCGGAAAGTGCGCAAACTTCCAGAAACAGCGACGGGCAATATATGACATTTGTAGTTGCAGCTATGTTTAGTTTATTGTATTAACGTTTCCAAATGCATCTTCAGGATGCATCTGCCTATCGAGAAACAAACGTACCAATGAAGATATTAAGTCCTAAATGTATTATCACCCTTGTGTGGTAATGTTGACACTTTGTACAACTAATTTACATCATATTTACATTTATTTATAAAATGGTGTTGTATTTTAAAGTCATAGACAGTACCTATAATATATATGATATCATAAATGGGATGGATATACAGTAATCATATCCGTTGTTTGACATGTATGTAGCCTATGTTCGTTTTGCACTGTGCAGTAAAATGTGTATGATGGAGTATCCGACGTTTTTTTTTTCTCACCGTCCATATATTTCACCACAGTAGACAATAATGTTATTTAAAATTTACATTAGCGAATGCTTAATAGCACAAACGTTGAATGTACAAATTACGGTCTTCGTACGTTTACCGTGAATGTTTCTGATAATTCAGAAATAAGGTGAATTAGCGTGACAAAGCTATGTTTGCGATTTTCTGAAAAATAAATATTTTTTCGTGATTCAGACCCACCTGTTATCACGTTTAATATAACGGTAGCCTACCTGCAACACTGATACTACATAATGAAGTGCCTTAGGTGTCACAACAGACATACCAGCTGAAATGTATGCAAGATAAAAGCTAAATGTGCAGTACTCAACATACACAGTATATTAATCTATATATGCTGTAAGAGCCAGATGAGCGCAGGACATCTCGGTATATATAGGTTTAACTCGGCGTCGATGGGGTTAATGTGGGTTAAAGCGATCGTTGAACAGGCAGGTGTCCTGCCAGTCCCAGCCCCGTTTTGGACTGATGTTTTTAACTTTCAAATCCTTTAAAGTACTCAGAAGCAATTCATAACTGTCACTGGCGCGTAAGGGCGAGTTTTGTGGTCTGGGGAATAGCCTGTGTAGTTGCATCTACAACTTTAAAGAAAATAAATAGGGTATAAATACCTCTACCTAATTTCTGGAGAGTAGCGACTTCGGCAAACGAACGAGCTCAGAATTTCGTAATATTACGATTTTTTTTGTACTGTCGTTTAAGGTTAAATGACATAATATTGAAAATCATTTTTCTAAATATTGCAAAATATTTTTTCTTCCCGAATTAAACTGTTTGCATTTTACTTATTTTTATTTTTGCCAGTTCCGTTTTTACCCCCTTGACGCCGTTAAAGCAGTAATCGCTGGAAATGTGGTGGATGCTGTTTCCGCGCTGGATCTGCTTCCTTGTAGGACAGTACTTTGTCCTCCTTATGGACAGCCGCGTCATGGCTATGTCCCTGCCAAGGGTAGTATACTCTCACGCCGGGATCTGCCCGAACGACATGAACCCTAATTTGTGGGTGGATGCCATGAGTACTTGCATGCGGGAGTGCGAATCGGATCAGGTGAGTCTGCTTGCCACCAGACTGATTTATTATATATTTTTCTGTTTGAAAATTGGGGAACAGGTTTGATTACTTGAAACGTTTACTTTCAGTAACAGAACTGTTTATAAAACTGTCACAATGTGCTTACGTACTTCAAATCTCCACTGCGTAGCTCAATAGCATAATAAAATAAACTAGGCTTATAAGCTTGCGTATACCTGCACTTTTATTGCGGCAGATAACAGTTATTATCATATGTAATAACCTAATTGTTTAATGTAGATCGAGAAATTATGTTGTAAGTACCTATTAAAATTGAATTTTAATTTAAATTCACTATAGAATAATACATTAGGGTTACAATAAGGCAGTGTATTGGAATGAAAACTATTGTATTACACCTAGGAATGCGAGACTTTCGAGAAGTGTTGTCCCAACGTCTGCGGAAACAGGAGCTGTGTGGCGGCGCGTTACATGGATGTCAAGGGAAAGAAGGGTCCCGTGGGGATGCCGAAGGAAGCGACATGTGACAAATTTATGTGTACCCAGCAAGGCTCTGAGTGCGACATCTGGGACGGGCAACCGGTGTGCAAGTGTCGGGACCGCTGCGAGCGAGAACCCAACTTCACCTGTGCTTCGGACGGCATGACCTACTACAACAGGTGCTACATGGACGCAGAAGCCTGTTCCAAAGGCATCTCCCTGTCCGTGGTAACGTGCAGGTACCACCTCACCTGGACAAACACCAGCCCGCTACCTGCAGAGACAACCCTCCGCCCGACCACCACTGCTCTCCTAGAGACCACCCCATTAGACGTACAGCCGCCGGCCATGATTAGCAGCCCTGCCCACCAATCTGTGTTTGTCGGTGACACTGCGAGCTTCCTGTGTGAGGTGACGGGGCGGCCGAAGCCGGATGTGACCTGGGAGAAGCAAGTGGAGGGGAAGGAAAATGTCATCATGAAACCCAACGACGTGCAGGGGAATGTGGTCGTCACCAACATCGGCCAGCTCGTCATCTATAATGCCCAGATGCAGGATACCGGCATCTATACCTGCACAGCTAAAAATGCAGGGGGCTCCATCCAAGCAGACTTTCCCTTATCTGTGGTCCAGAGAGACACTGTCAAGACGGAGGACCCTAAAAATGCAACAAATGTTCCATTGGAAGAGTGCCTGAAGACACCAGACCATGAAGACTGCGGAGAGGAGAGGATGAGTTGGTACTATGAAGCTAAGAAGAACAACTGCTTCACTTTCACCTATGGAAACTGCAACAACAACATGAACCACTTTGATACCTATGAGTCCTGCATGCTGTCTTGTGGTGCAGAGCTGGCTCACCCTTGTGGTCTTCCCAGCCTTCAGGGCCCCTGCAAAGCCTATGAGCCCCGCTGGGCATACAGCAACTTGTTAAAGCAATGCCACTCATTCATTTACGGCGGTTGTGGCGGGAATGAAAACAACTTCGAGAGTAAGGAAGCCTGTGAAGAAGCCTGCCCTTTCCAAAAAAATCAGAACTGCAAGATGTGCAAACCCCGCCAGAAGATGGTGACCAGCTTCTGCAAGAGCGACTTTGTCATTCTTGGCCGGATGACGGAGCTGACAGAGGACCAGGACTCTGGTCATGCCCTCATCACGGTGGAGGAGATCCTGAAGGATGAAAAGATGGGGCTGAAGTTCTTTGGCAAGGAGCCTTTGGAGGTCACGCTGCTGAATATGGACTGGAGCTGCCCATGCCCCAACATCACCAGTGCGGATGGCCAGATGATCATCATGGGAGACGTCCACAATGGCATGGCCGTCCTGCAGCCGGATAGCTTCGTCAGTCCGTCCAGCGCCCGGCGTGTCCGTAAGCTCCGCGAGGTCCTACATAAGAAGACCTGTGACCTTTTGAAAGAGTTCCCCAGCGTTTAATAGAACATCTCCAAGTCTTGTAAAGACATAAAATACACACCATGGCTGTAATGCTCTTATCCTAAAGGAATTTAAAAAAAAAATCTCTTCTTAAAAGTGTTCTGAAGGGGTAAGTCTTATTCAGCCCAAACTAAGTGCCTATGGGTTTCTTACCACACTTCTTTCTATCTGTTAACATGTATTATCTGTTGTTCACTTTATTTATTATGAATATGCAGCTAGTGTATACTATATTGTATGATGATGCTTACAATGTGCAAGTTCACAAAAATTCCTCTTAAACTAATATGCTTAAAATATAAGAAAAATGCATTAAATACTGCACTTTATTTATCAGAACATGTGCAATGCAATTGGAATACATTGATTTATATGCATTACGTGACATTGTAATAACGCATGGTGTTGCTCTGACTTCATGTTTTGTGAAATGGTCTTCTTCATTGGGATATCTTAGTGCCTTCATCAGGTAAACAGATGTGTATTTCAGAATACTACACTTATTGACATCATCTTAGAATTCATTGTTTTAGTCCTTTTCTAGCAGTTGCAGATTTGAGGCTCTTCTTAAGCACTTATTGAGAAACGTTTCTTAGCATTCACGTTCCATGAAAATGTGTCCCTGAAGTGTCTCAATGTCGTTCTCTCTTTACAGTTTTAAATGACCTGGTGCCTTTGATACAATAGATGAGATCCACTGTTGTGCCTTAATATCAAGGTTTCAAAGTCACGGATTGTTAAAGTGGTCACCAGGGAGCACACTCACATCGAAACTTCTGTAATATTCTCACAATCAGATTTGCTCAATGCACTTGAACCGGTTGTAATATGTTCTCTCTGTGGCTAAGAGTTCTGAATTCCTGGAATCAGAGTACTTTATTTCCAATATAGCACCTTGCAATTCTGCTATAAAATGAATGTATATTTTTTGTGCTTGATTTTACCTTAGTTTTTGTATTTATTGTGTGGTCTTTAGTCATTTACTAAAATTAATGAATAAAATCCTTACCCTCAAGCACTTAATTTTCTCTTCAGAACAATACTTGTTCCATCTTTTATTTTAAATATTTTCTTTTTCTGATCTTTTTTTTTTTTACATATCCAGCACTGCTGAGACAGAGCAATTAATAAAAACAAAAAGAAAGACAAAACTGTGAGTGATCATTTACTTTTTAAAATATTTAAGTCTGTGGACCTTGGGATTATGGAAAACTTGTCTATTTTTATGACTTCTGGAGTGTGTTTTTTTAAACGTCTGTACTGTTTTGTTTTTTTAAACCCCCAATCTCTCTCCCCACCCCCCCCTCCACCCCACACCTCTTCATAGCCCCCACATTAATTATCAGGCAGGTCACATTCCTGCACTGGTGTGGGGAAGTGGTGAGCCATGGGGATACAGACCACTCAGACTGACTGCTCACAATGGAGGCTGCGCTTTGACATTCTGTGTCATGCCGACCTTTCATGTGTGTGAAGCTGGTGAGGCCTCACCACCGGGCTCTGTGCAGGGAAAACACGCCCCCCCACCCCGCTTGTCACTATTGCCTGACTTCAGCCACATACTGGCTCCCCTCTCAGTAGGCCAGTGGAAGGGGAGGGGGGGGGGGGGGGGGGCGGCTGATAGATGAAGCAGGACTTTAATACAGGATTTGAACTTTTGACTTTTACAACCTGGGATGCAGACAAACACACGGTTTCCCAGAGGCTTTGCAGGGTGGGCTTGGGCTGTCTGCTACCTCAGGGTAAGTGCAAAGCAAACCCTTGACCTTGTGGGCTGGGGGAAGAAAAAAGAATCGGCGAGAGAGAAAGAAAAAGACCATTTCATTCACAGGCTGCCAAGTGTCAAGTACAGCTAGCAGATTCTGTTGCACTGGAGTGACCGGGGGAGTACAAAGGTAGCCACTCTCCCTGAATCCTGCCATGTCCTCTTTTCAGGGATCATTTAGCATTAACAATTGTATATGTTAAGAAAAAAAAAAATCAAAATTATATCAAGACAATTCATGCACAAGTGTTGCATATATTTAACTTGTTTCTAATCCCAGGTCCAGAACAAAATCACTAAGGGTGCATTTGAAACTATTGAGGGGGCACAACCTCCACAATGGATTGACTTTCATCTGACAGGGCACATTATTAATTTGAGGGTGCTATTGCACCCTTGTAATCCTGGGTCTGCTTGCTTTGCTTAGTAATCTTAACTAGTATTAGAAAAGCTCTCATCCTCATACCCATTTGAACTTATTAAAGGGAATGAAAGGTGACGAGAGCTTCCTTAGGGCCTCAGGCTGCTCCTGTAGTTTTCTCCAAGGCCGTCGAATCTCGGCATAGGTGATATATTAACCCCCACAATTGTCATAGATGTTTGGGTCTGTCCTTTTCTAGAGCGCATTAACGGCCTGTTGCAGTCGAGGGACGCTTGTGGTATTATAAAATTTTGCTCGCTTTTCGTCTCATCATTCCAGGCTCTTTTCAGCAAGCAAGCGATGTATAGAGCAAACCGCGAATATATTTTTCTTTCAACGTTTGCCAAGGGGAGTTCAATCTGGATTTGTGCAAATGTGCATCTGGGGAGCTGACAGGGTGGTTTCGGCTTTTGGCAGCCAGCTCTGTTATTTTCATCTGGCTTTACAAGAAGCGCACCCCTGAAACAATTATATACAGGAACTCGCCCAGCCAAAGAGTTAATGGTGCCCAAAAACCTTAGCTATAGTGCATAGCTGTAGACTTATAAATTATCATGTCTGCCACTGCACAACACTTACAGCAATGTATCCTATGAGTTTGCTAATGTTTTTTTACAAGACTGGGGGTTTTCTAAGGAGATTTGCATTTTCATCTTCAATATCAGGATTACCAGCACTGCCTCTAATAAAATAATAAAAAAAAGGTGGGGAATTAACAAACATGCCAGTGTACCGACGGAATGGGTCCTTTCAAGTTGTAACAAGAAAAAGGAAAACTGAAAATTTCCAAATTGTCAAATTGCAAATCAAGCATTCTGTTGAAATGAGTGGAAGATATTTTACAATGTTTCCACCCATCCTACACAAGCAAATTGCTTTGGTGTAGAAGAAAAAAACTTTTATACTCTGGACAGCCTCTGGCTATGACAGTTTCATGTTCTTCAGCTTTGGAAAGTTTATTTGAATATACAAAATATGTCTACCATATTCATGACTGAGATGAACCAGAATTGGGTTTGAACTAACTCGATTAATACTTTATCTGGGTATGGAAACATTCCTCTGTATTTACTGGTATTCCTTAAAGCATTAAATAAAAATATCAAAGAATATTATATAGCTTTGCCATAACATTATTATCTAAGCTAAATGATCATATTTTAACTTTCAGATTTATGCATGTATTTAATCTTGGTAGCTTATTTTTGATCCATGCTATACCTCTTTTTTCACCATAGATGTGGCAGTAACCAAAATACTGTAAGTAAAAATTAAGTGGCTCGTATCCCAGGATTATGGGAATTCATATTTTCTCCATTATACCAATTATACTGTGTTTTATCTTGATGAACCTGGACGATGGTTTAGTCACTATTGTGTTAAAAACAAACAAACAAACAAATAAATTATATATATATACACACACACACAATATATATGTATGTGTGTGTGTTTGTATATATATACTGTATATATATATATATATATATATATATATATATATATATATATATATANTATATATATATATATATATATATATATATATATATATATATATATATACACACACATATGGTGTGTATATATATATACACATATATACACACCACAGGTTTTTACCGTTTTTCCATTTATTTCATAAAATGCAGATTTTTTTTTTTTGTTAAGTTTTGGAAAGTTGCATGAACAAACAACAATAAATTAAAATATAAGTCAAATAAAACAAGATTCCTTTATAACATGGAAAGAATATGTAACAGTGCATGTCTGATATCCTATTAATGGGTTGTGTTGTGATGGCGTAATCAAATCCTAGGCTGTCCTTTAACTTTAAATGGACTAGTTAGCTGTTCCATCCCATGAAACAGAGCAGTATTTAATGTCCCTTGTAGAAAGAGTGCCTTGAATTTTCTCTGCCGTTAAAACTGCTAGAGCAGGTTACTTTCATGAATGAGAGATATGACATTTTCTTGCTAATAAAGGTACTCAAATAGTGATTAAACTGTAAATTGATTTGTTAGCAAAGAATATTAAGTGCATTTTGATAAATGTTAGTAACATGGAAAAGTGAGTAACATGCAAATGTAGAAAATCTCAGTGTGTGCAAAAACCTTTGACCGGTAGTGTGTGTATACACACACACATACATACACACACACACACACACACACACACACACACTACAGGCCAGAAGTTTGGACCCATCCTCTCTGATGTTTTATTATATAAATCATACACTGCTTTTTCAAACTTTTATTACAAGAAAATATTAGAAATACTACAACAAACGTAACTGATTGGTTTTGAAGTGTAATGTGACAATTTACTGTCCATCATGAGTGCAATTTAATGAATTGAAGTGCCTAAGTAATATTCCCACGTTCACTCATCATTACTCAATCATGACAGTTCATGTATTTCATGGGGAAACCTATTAGTCTGAATTGTTCTTCAGTAGTAAATCAGTTAAGTAATTTTTGCCAATTCAACTGAATTATTAACTAATTAGTTAACTGTTAACTGATATAGCGCCCAAATTAAATACATGACGTGTCATGATTTATTAATGATAAACGAGCAAGGGATCAGTACGTAACTAACACTTAGTTACTGGGTAATTAATGCATTAAGTAAGCATGTCCTACTATGTTCATGTCCCCTCAGTGTGACCCTCTTGTTAACACCACAAAGTAAAGGTTTTCTCGACCATGTAGTTCAGCTGCTCTCAGTCTTCGCTTGACTGTAGTAAGTGATATAATTTCCCTCTGTTCACATTAATCTCAGCCCTCAGATCTCGAGAAGTCATCTTCTGATGTCTTTTACACGTCACAATTAAGTGTTGATCTTCAGTCTTTCATGTCACTTTCCTTGCCCCAGATCGTTTCCTGTCACTGTTGCTTGCTGTCAGCCTTTTTCTCTGTAAACAGTAGGTCACTCCATACTTAGAAACATTTAACTTTCTGGTTATTTGGTGATAAGAGAACCTTTTTTTGCTCAGAAGTTTGATTTGAGCCCTCTGCTCAGTTGTTAGCTGTGCCTTTCTAGCCATTAGAAATATAAAATTAACAGATATTTACTAAAACTTCTCACTCATCAGTTGTGATACAGCACCACAGAAGATTGAAACAACGTGCAGACAGTGCATTAAACCTCTAACAAACTGATCGGGGATAAGGCAGACAAGTGGCTATCATTTAATTTATTAAGACACAATCAAGAGAGGCCAAGTGTAAATCAAGTTCTGACATTAGTAAATAGAATTCCAACACAAAGTGAATGTCAATGCACCAAAGGTAGCCCTGATATGTCTTCTTCAAAACCAATAGTTTCAGCCTTTGTGGCCAAATAATATGTTACTACAAGCTATAAAATACTGAAAACCAGTCAATTACATTTGTTTTAAGTATTTCTAATATTTTCTTGCAATAAAAGTTTGACAAAGCAGTGTATCGTTTATTTTAAAAAAATCCGAGTATGGGTCCAAACTTCTGGCCTGTAGTTTTATGCGTGTGTATGTGTTTATATTTTAAAGAAATCTGAAGTTTACTGTTCAAAAACCCTATTATTTAATGTTATTGATGTAATTTGAAGTGACAACAAACGCAGTGTGTAAAACGTGTTTTATTTGCTATGAGCCAGAAAGGAACATGCTAGTATCAATTCCTGCTCTGTAAAGTACTCGTGCCTTTGTTCCCTCTGCTCAGTGATCCATCCGGTCTCACTGATAGTTTATTGGTGTAAATGTCTCCCTGAAGTCAATATCTCACATATTCAACCAGGATGGAAACCGTGGGATTTTGCAGGAATGACGCCAGTGTGTGTGAAAGTAGCAGCGGGTGGCTTGGCGGAGATGCCGATATATGAGCCACAGACCGTGGAGTTTGTGATTGAAGCACGGGGAGCAGA